GTGTGTGTGTGTGTGTGTGTGTGTGTGTGTGTGTGTGTGTGTGTGTGCGTGTGTGTGCAATGAAGACTACTTGTTATGGGACAGATTTGGTTGGCAGGACGCAGACCAATGAAGTCTTCCTGATGGAAGATGAAACGTTTCTCCCTTAAAGAAACTGGTCCAGATGACATAATTTTGTCATTTAGTGCTATAGAATAAGAGAGCACTTCAAAAGATTGCAAAAAGTACAATTCCTTTGAAAATATATTTATATATATAAAGAAGTTGGCTAACATTACTTAAAAAAATTATATTTAGAAGAGATTTTATGGTGATACTTTGCCGTTGGTCCACTCGGATCAATCCAATGACTAAAAAGAAAAAAAAATCTAAGATGTTTTCCCATTTTTATATGGACATTAGCTCTTTTAAGAAGAAGCGGGTAAAGATGATGGATGGATGGATGGATGGATGGATGGATGGATGGATGGATGGGTATAGGATGGTTAAACGATTACGGTATATCAATATCATTGTAAAACTAGTTAGAAAAAATTAATTATACTTTAGCTGTCAGTAGTAATTCAGATTCAGAGATTCAGAGCGATGTATTTGTCATTCACATCTCATGTGGTACATGTGGTGGAATGAGATTATGTACGCAGGGTCCCAGTTACATCCAACAATAATAATGATAATAATAATAATAATAATTCAATGATAATCAATAGGCTGCTAAATGTAATGTACTGTAGTGATTAAATTTGTACTGTACATCATGTACAGTACATGTACTACATCTGCAGGTGACTGCAGTTGCTATTACGTTACTAACCAGTAGGGGGCGGGCTGACCTTAACAGGCTTCATTTCTGATAAACCCCGCCCACCGCGCTTGATTGACGTCTACGAAGAAAAAGATCGTCTTACAAGATGGTGGTCTGTGGACGTTAGCTGGGAGGCCGTCAGAGTTGTTGTGCTGTCTTTTAGTGTTACTACTTGAACATTTGGCCTTGTATTTAGTAGCTTTAGGTTGTAGACGTAATGTGTCGATGAAGTAGTCCCAGATATATATTTCGGTTATCTTAAAAGTTAATTCAGAAGCGCATGTTTTATAACATGCAGGCGGGGAAAAAGTTAACAGGTCGAGGAAAACACTAGACGGGGGTGAAGCGATAGTCTGTTAGCAGCCAGCTAGCCTGCTAGCTCCGACTCGGTTAACCACCATGTCGGACACACGGCGGCGAGTGAAAGTTTACACCCTCAATGAAGAACGGCAGTGGGACGATCGGGGCACGGGACACGTCTCGTCCACTTTTGTGGAGCGACTGAAAGGGATTTCGTTATTGGTTCGAGCTGAGTCTGACGGTAAGTTGTCGGTTAGCTTAGCCACATTTACGCTACGCTGGCTAACTAGCGTGCTAGCTTATCCTGACAGAGCGCTTCAGTTGAACGGCGTTTGTTTTAGTACGGCTCATAATATTTTTGTAAATTAAATGTGGTATTTGGAGCCGACTGCGTTTGACGAATATCACGTTGGCAGTCACCTTGTTCGAAATAAGAACTTTTTTGGATTTTTGTAGTTCGCATGCTCATTTGTTTTAACAGACGACGTGATCACACTACGGGCCCCAGACTCGTACATGTTAAAATTTATTACTGAATATAAGTCTGAACACATACAGATATTATACAAAATAACCTGGCTAATTTTGTACTTAGTTGTTTGAGTTTTTTTTTTTTATTCTACTTTATTCGGAGATCTAACTTTAGGACAAACTAATTGGACCTTGCTGTTTAAACTTGGCTATTGTTGATGAATCATTTTTAATCAAGTTAAGTAACTTATCTCTTTTAGGATCATTGCTGTTGGAGTCAAAGATAAGTCCAAATACAGCATATCAGAAACAACAGGTAAATAGCTTATTAGCTTTTGCTGTTTGAAGAAAAGTGTTTTTTTTTTTTTTTTCTGGCTACATTAATACTGATTTAAGAAAGGATTTTAGAGCCAAACTGCACTTTTTTACCTCTACTTTCCAGGACACGCTGATCGTCTGGTCCGAAGCAGATAATTATGATCTTGCCTTAAGTTTCCAAGAAAAGGCTGGCTGTGATGAGATCTGGGAGAAGATTTGTCAGGTATTATTCTGCTATAATTGTTATTTTAGTGTTATTGTTCATTTAATAACTACTCACAATTTATGCCCTAGGTTCAGGGTAAGGACCCTGCTCTGGACATCACCCAGGACCCCATTGATGAGTCAGAAGAAGACCATTTTGAGGAGATTCCAGAAACAACTCATCTAGTTGAGCTCCCTCCTTGCGAGTTAAGCAGACTTGAGGAAATTGCTGATCTGGTTACCTCTGTCTTGTCCTCACCAATTCGGAGGGAGAAACTTGCCCTGGCGCTGATGAGTGAGGGTTACATCAAGAAACTGCTAGGTCTCTTCAGAGTGTGTGAAGATTTGGACAACAGAGAGGGTCTACATCACCTCTATGAGATTGTGCGAGGTGTCTTGTTCCTCAACAAAGCAGCCCTCTTTGAGGTTATGTTCTCTGACGACTGTATTATGGATGTGGTGGGTTGCCTTGAGTACGACCCCGCACTGGTTCAGCCGAAACGACACCGGGAGTTCTTGACCAAGACGGCAAAGTTTAAGGAAGTGATTCCTATCACAGACTCAGAGTTACGGCAAAAGATCCACCAGACGTACCGGGTTCAATACATCCAGGACATAATCCTGCCTACTCCCTCTGTCTTTGAGGAGAACTTCCTGTCCACACTGACGTCTTTCATCTTCTTCAACAAAGTGGAGATTGTCAGTATGCTGCAGGTAAAAAATCCAAACAAGGTTACTTTCAGTTTGAGGCACAATTAACAATATAAAACATTCAAATGTTCTTTGTGTAGAACAATACTGTTTGATGGGTTACGTTTATTGTCATAATGAATGTGATGAAGCACTGATTATTCTTTGTATAGATCTAGTAGAGTGCTGTATGAATGGGTAAATGAGGGCACAGATTGTAGTGTAAAGTGTTAGTAGAGTATCTTGATAAGATAGAAAGGCAGTATAAGTACAGTCCATTTACCATTTAATACTCAGATGCATTGTTTTCCTCTGTTTTAGGTCGCAGATATGCATTTAACAACTTATTTTGTTTACTGAAAGAATGGTTTAAGCAGAATTACAAATGAATGACAAAAAAAAATCCATTGTTTGTGTGGATGTTTGATGGGTAGATGTGACATCGCAGCAAATGTGAAATGTACTCTCATCATTTTAGAAGAGTTGAGGCTGTGAGAAATACATGTAAATATATCAGATTTTGTAACTTAACGATGAACTAATTAAAATGTTCTTGGAAGGTAATCAAACAAATAGGTTGTATTGTGTGTTAGAGCTTATTTATTTTGATGTGATGTTTGAGGAAAGTGCTTTTTTAATGAAGGTTTTATTGTTTTATAGTCCACCTATTTCTAAGGCAAATATGTGTAAGGTGCATGATTTTTTACAAACAGTTCAGTGTTTCACTATTTTTTAAATTACTCTGCTGTTTGGATAGTTATCTCTTTTATTGGACTTAAAATTAAAATGTGAACAGAAAACAATTTTTGCTACTTGTTTTTCAACAAAGTCTGGGTTCAACGCCAGAAAATAAGAGAACATTTGTTCATGAGTCACAAGTGAAGCACCACTAAACAGGATTTTATCATGTAAACACAGCAAGGGGAAGATGTAAACAAATCCAGAAAAGTAGAAACAGTAAATATTTTCTGTTAGTTTCTTCTAACTGTTCTACAGGTAAATGGAAACAGTTCTAAAGATTATTCAAAATGATTGTGGTAAGCTCAAATAATTGTCACAGGAATACATTTTGCTTGGTTTTTATTTATTTATTTTTTTATATAAATTTCTTTAAAAATTCCTAATTGCTCATATTTTTAAAACACATTTTGACTTTGCTACAGGAGGATGAGAAGTTCTTGACAGAGGTCTTTGCACAACTCACAGATGAAGCCACAGACGACAGTAAAAGAAGAGAGCTGGTAAGTTAAACTGTCCCTCCCTCTTTCCCCAATTCATCCATTCATTTCCCCGTATCTGTATACAACCCAGGTCACTAATGAAGTGACCACAATAGCAGACATATTTCAGTAAAAAAAAAACTTACCCAAAATAAGCAGTATATTTTAATTAACTCGGGCATGAATGCTGTGTGTATTGTGTATGTACTGGTATGTATATATACATAATGTAAATGTAAATATCTCGTCCTAAGCATTTCATTGTACTGTTAACCCTGTGTTAACCTTGCATATGACAAACATAACTTGAACTATATGTACTGTACATGCATCTATAAATCTATCGTACGTCTACGTGTATATAGGACATTCGCTAGCATTTGCACATTGCTTGTATCCGCACCAGAATTGCATTTTCTGCTCTAAACACCAAACTATAAAATTCATGTAAATTACCATATTTTCCAGACTATACGTCGCTCCAGAGTATAGGTAGCATCATTCAAAAAATGCCTCATGAAGAGTTAAAAACCATACATAAGTCACATTTATTTAGGAAGTGTATTTCACAAAGTGCAAGAACAGACATTTACTCTGATGTAACGATAACGCACAGAACAAACCTGGCATCCTGAACAGGCTTAATTAACATAACGAGCCCAACAAGCAAGTTACCGGTAAATTCACCAATCTCATTCCACATCATTTGTGGGGGCATTTTACTTGTGTTGTTTTTCCTCAGTTGTCTCTGGTTAAGTTTTTTATTTTTTTTTATTTCATTCATTTTGACATGGTACACTATACAATTTTGAATGACAATAAAGTTGATAAAAGTTAAGTTATATTCATTAATTAATGATGTCTGTACTGGCAATAACATTTGCTTTTCCTCCCTTCACTCCTCAGGTAAACTTTGTCAAAGAATTTTGTGCTTTTTCACAAACGTTGCAGCCTCAAAACAGGGATGCCTTTTACAAAACTTTGGCAAACTTGGGAATTTTACCAGCTCTTGAAATAGTCATGGTATGATGCAAGCTTTGTTTAAATATTAATAATGCTTATATATATATAATTGATGTGGATTACTAGGAAAGTATGCACATGTATAACTCCTTCCTTGTCTTTCTGCAACTGTTTCTCCTGTTGTTCAGGGGATGGATGACCTGCAGGTGAGAGCGGCAGCTATTGACATCTTTTCTTACCTGGTGGAATTCAGCCCCTCTATGGTCAGGGAGTTTGTCATGCAGGAACCACAGCAAGCAGAAGATGTAAGCATTAATATTCACAGCAGTTATTCTTTTGTAGGAATATTGCTGAATTTATTATGGTAAGAAGTAGTATGTCTTAACGCTGTATAAAACACAATGTGGTTGCAAATAAATCATCTGGAAATATGTGCTCTTAGATTTGTTTGTAATTCTGTGATTTAATGTGGACATTTAAAATTTCCAGTCTGTGGCTCGGTACAAAATAAGAGTTGATCGTGTGTGGTGATGTAATTTAACTAACACTCAGGGTACAGTTAATTATTGTCATCATCATCAACACTTCAGTCGTGAAGAAATAGGTTTCAGAACTTGTTTGAGAAGTCTTGTTTACATTTTTTCTATCAGCTGTGTACACAAAATACTTTTAGAGTTCTCTTAAAAACATCTATTTTGTTTCAGTGGCATGGCAGTTGTTTAGTTTTGCAAAAATGTTGTTTGGAATTTTATTGTAATAATTGCAACTTGTTCTTTGTGTGTTTTTGTGTGTGTACTTTAGGATGTTCTGCTGATTAATGTTGTGATCAAGCAGATGATTTGTGACTCTGACCCAGAGTTAGGAGGGGCTGTCCAGCTGATGGGTCTGCTCAGGACACTCATTGACCCAGAGAACATGTTAGCTTCCACCAATGTGAGCAAAACAATTATGTTTTTGGCTAGTATAAAATCTGTTTTTATATTTTATACAACTGATGCTGCCTTCTGATTGAACCCTATTTGTATTTCATTTCACGTAGGAATTATAAATCCCAATGTTTTGACTTTATATAATTTCCTGGATTGTTGGATATAAATAATACACAACGCATGATATTTATTTTTCTGCCTAAAACAAAGTGTCTTTGCTGGTAGGGGGTAAACTCGTTTGTTCTGTCCAACATCAGTGACAATTTTTTGTTGCGCAATCTCTTGTAGAAAACTGAGAAAACAGAATTTCTGAGTTTCTTTTACAAGTACTGCATGCACGTCCTCACTGCTCCTCTGCTGGCCAACACCGCACATGACAAGAACTCAAAGGGTAAGCTGGGGGGGGCATACAGGCAAAATATTTCAGATTGTAAGATAAAATACATTTTGACTGATTGTTCTGCATTACTGTGTTTCAGATCAGCCTGAGGGTTCAGCAAAGATAAACCCTGTCTGTCCAGGTGGGTTCTGTTTACTTCAGTAAACATTCAACCGTTCTATTTTCATGCTACTGAGCCGTATAGACTTTGTTCTTGTTCAAGACATTTATATTTTTACCTTCAAGTTTAGTTTTGCTTCCAATTAATTGTTTTCCCAGAAGAAAAACCTTCAAAAGTGAAACGTATCTTTAAATGATCTTCATTGGTGCTGCAGCATCACTTCATGAACAAGTGGTTGAAAAAGGAGAATTTCTAGAAATTGTTGAGCATTGCATCATCTTGCATGTTTACAATATTCTTAACAGAATTTTATTTTTTAGACAATTTCCAGACAGCTCAGCTGCTAGCTCTGATCCTGGAGCTTCTAACCTTTTGCGTGGAGCACCACACCTACCACATCAAGACCTACATCATGAACAAAGACTTGCTCAGGAGAGTGCTGGTGCTCATGAACTCAAAGCACACCTTCCTTGCTCTTTGTAAGTCCATCTATGTGCACATTATTGTCCTTGTTCAATTTAATGGTTACCCTGCTAGTTTGTCACACCCTGTACACTATATTTACCATTATAATACCATTATATTACCCTGTACATTATATTACCATTATATTACCCTATACACTATATTTACCATTATATTACCATTATATTACCCTGTACATTATATTTACCATTATATTACCCTGTACATTATATTTAAATAGTACATAAGCTGAAAAGCTGCTTCGTACTTCACCAACGGTTATATTTCTACTCAAATTTAGATGCAATTATAGCATTTTTTATTTGACAAAATCCTTCTTGTTTTCCACAAGGTGCCCTGCGTTTCATGCGCAGAATCATTGGACTAAAAGATGAGTACTACAACCGCTACATTATTAAAGGGAACTTGTTTGAGCCAGTCATTAACGCCCTGCTGGACAACGGCACCCGATACAATCTTCTCAACTCTGCCATCATCGAGCTCTTTGAGTTCATTAAAGTGGTGTGTAAACACTCAAACTGTGCTTTGATCAAATATGTTCACTGTGTGTGCACAAAGTTGGATTTCTTTCTCCTCATCTTCACAGGAGGACATCAAATCTCTTATCGCTCACATTGTGGATAACTTCTACACGGCGCTTGAATCCATTGAGTATGTCCAGACTTTCAAGGGGCTGAAAGGACGATACGAGCAGGAAAAAGACCGCCAGAGTCAAAAACTCAACAAGTCAGTCGCCTGAATAAACACGCATCAAGTCATAGCTCTAATGCTTTTAAAGTTTTTTTATTTCTCACTGCTCAGTTACACTTGAATAATACAAGGTTCGCTCTCGTAGATATCGCAGAGACGCACGGTCTTTAGATGAGGATGAAGAGATGTGGTTCAATGACGACGAGGATGACGAAGATGGAGAGGCAGTGGAGAGGAGGATGGAGGAGGACTTTTCTGATAGCTATGAAAAGTTCATGGAAGCCAAAAAGGGTAAACCGCACTGAATATAGGCAGCATCATGGACGCCTCCCCCTCCCTCCTGAAATGCAACACCTTTGCTGTCTGTTTCTTTAGGAGCTGCTAACGGAGCCAACGGTGCCAACAATGGGAAGTCTGCCTCAGTCCCTCCTGCCTCTCCTACAGTAGCTCCAAACAGTTCATCTTCCTCAGTTAAAGCAGTCGCTCTTCCTGCCACACCTGTCGTAAAGGTAACCTGTCTTTATAAAGAGGGTCTAAAACGAGCTTTTTATCTGATTTTGCTTGAACGCATTGTTAATTTCTCCTCCACTTTCTTACAGACTGCTCTGGTTGGTTTGGTGGACTACCCTGACGATGAGGATGAAGAGGAAGAAGATGAGGAGGAAGAGAAGTCTCCACGGAAACGACCTCGCTTGAGCTCTTAAGGCTAATCTCACTTAGTCATAGTGGACAGAAGTGGAGTCCCTCCCGTCCCCCTTCCTCTGGTCGTCTCATCGGTCCTCGGCCTGCCCGTGCCACCTTCCCGTCTCACCGTGAAGACGAAGACGAGCTCCTGCCTTTCTCAGTCCTGAACTCTGCTGTTTGCTCCTTTTGAGGAAGGAGATGGAGAATTTCTCTGGAAAGACATATCAGTCTATTCCTTCAGACTGATGATTTTTTTAAAACATTTTTTTACACGTAACTCTTTCCCTAAGATGCCCAACATTTTTCTTTTTCTTCCTCCTGAGGAGAACTTCACTGGTCTTTGCCTGCACTCACCTGTTCTTTTCCTTCCTCCATCATTCACAACTGCAGATTGTGGAAATCACTCTTCCACTGTTTATTTTTACTCTACTGTATTGCTGTTGCAACCGTAGCGAGGAAGCCATGGCTCAACGGCAGCCCTTTACATCATTTACCAAACTGGACCAGTGGGCTCCAGAGGCAAAGGAAGCCAAACCACGACCAGTCAGTCTAACTGCTCAGCTGGCCTCTCAGACTTTCAGGACTAGCCATCAAATAAATAAAAAGTTTGACTGGATGGAGCTGAATGTGTGCTGCCCTGTCACAGGTAGAGGGATCTTGGTAACAGAAATATAGACAAAATATTAAAAGGGGGGGAGAAGTGACTAATCAAACTCGAACGCTCCTCTGTAATGATGCTTAGATCGGATAGAGCAGGACTCAATTCTTAAAAGGCCGTTGCATCAGTTTGCTCAAAACAGTCGCAGGATTGTGTTAGTCGGACGTCCTGGATTTCAACAAAAGTACTGTACATATACCCCCCCTTAATTATTTTTCACGATGTAATTTGAAAGTGGAAGGAAATTCTTCCTTGTGAGAGAAAAAAATTATCGGGGTGGAAGTCACTCTACCTTTCCAGTCTAATCTGATTCGATGTAAAATGCAGAAAAGTTTGCAAATACTTTTCTAAAAATACACATTAAAACTGCAGTAAAGTCACTTTGACAGACATTTTGAAGATGTCTGTAGTTTTGTATTTTAGTCCAATTAAGAATGTTACTTTTATGATTTATATCTAATGACAGCTCAACATTTGGTTTTAACCCAGTAGTGGTGGTGATGGGGGGGGGGGGTTCAAGTTAATTTAGTGCCCACTTTTGTTTCAGAAGGTCAAGTCTCCATCCAGACGTTTATTTTAATCAGAAACCAAAAGCCACCCACTTTGTCTGCACTGTAATGTTGTTAGCTGATCAACACGGCGTTCATTAATAAGTGGAGAAAAAAAATTGTTTTTTTGGAGGGGGGGCTTTTGTTCCTACTTTGAAGGTTTCCCAGTTGAGATGAGCTTTGTTTAACATTATAGGTTTTCCATGTATAAAAATTCTACAGTTGAAAATAAGTTGAAGGAACAAGTTGTTAAAAGAATTTGAGCTGTTTTTAGTTGTGATTAAAAAAAAAGACTCAACCCCTGCAGTTGAGACGATGAAGGTTTTCAGCGTATCGAGTCTTCACTTAAAAAGCAGTGGGATAGTTTCAGTGTCGGGTGGAAACGTTTTCTTGTCCCCCTCCTTCTCTCTTGGTCTCACGACATGCGCACAAAGTCAAATGAAGGGATTTAAAAGTAGACATCCGATCCGCACCGAAGGCAGTAGGGCCGAAACAAAAAGTTTAGCCAGTGTGCTCGTCAGGAGTTGAACAGTGAATTTTCTTCCCCTCAGTCTGCATCAACTGTTTCTGCTCTTAAATGAATTTGTACCAAGTGCATTTACTACCACTATTCATTCTTAACATTTGTATGAGTTTATTTGATAAGTTTTGAAATTAAATGTGACCCTGACATTGATCTTGTGAACCTATGCTTTTTTTTGCCCTCATCTATAGTACTAGGCATATTTTTACTTAATTTGTGAATCTAAATGAAAGATAATTTGTAATTAAGCAACATAAAATATTTTCTCTCAGGATTATAACAGAATCCTAAAGGTTTAAAACCAAAACAACTAGACTTCTGTGGTTGAAGATGTTTGTCTCGCCTTAATGCATGTGACCAAAACGCCTCCTGTGAGCCAGGAAAACAAAAACCCTAATGATCCTCAGGGAGGAGGGGAGTGTGATTAATCTGCACGTTAAAGTTAGTGCTCATAAATGTAGCATTTTGTGCAGTTTGAAGCTACGAACCACACCAGTTTTGAGTTGGGGGGGGGGGGGGGGGGTAGAACTCGTCGTGTCCGGGATGAACAAGAAACCACACCATCAGCTACATGTCATGACTCATGTCTTAGAGTTTTTGTTGGCAAGCTTTATACTTCATTAACCACTCAAAAGTCTGGAGTCCAAGTCGTTTCTACAAAATAGGATTTATTAAAACATACATCATTTGACTTTTATAGAAACTGGTGCACCATGATTGCATTAATTGAAAACCGAGTTGAAAATAAATACTGCGCTCCTCACAAAGAAACAAGCCATTCTCTTGGCCCCTTTAGTTACAAGTGTTAATCTCTCAAACATAATATGAGGTACTACATGAAAGAAGCATCCCTTTGGTAATGTAAAAAGTAGGACATATACAAGCTAACTACACCTTCACCATTGCATGGATCAAAGTTTCTCACAGACTCAAGTCGGCTTATTCACCGCATGGCCAGATTTGAACTGTGTTCACTGATTTTAGAAAAATAGCCGTATGATTGTGCCATAAATAAAGACTCAGTTGTAAGATCTGGTTTTTGAACTATTGGAATAATACAAATTAAACAAAGGTGTACTTTTTGTACTATAACTTTTTACGCCATTATATTTTATCCTTAATGTAAAAAAAAAATAATAATGGTAAAACATTATTAAAACAATTTTGCATCAACCCTGAGGAAAATTTAACATTTCAGAAGCATTTTTGCAGGAAAAATAACTAATATAAGCCAATTAATTGCTCCAGTGCTTGCATAATTAACAGTTGCAGCTCTGGGGATTTCCTTTTTTCTTTTTTTGAGTATGAACATATTTTTCATTAAAAATGAAAAGTAGAAAATACAGATTTATGCATATATCTGAAGCAAACAAATGAGGCCTATCACATCTTAAAACACTTAAATGGTATATATCCAAATGCTAAAACATGATGTTGAAAGGTTATTTGTAAATAGCAAACAATGCAAATAAAATAATGTCTCACTTTTAATTTTTCAGTCAGTCAGTGTGGAAGATGCCAAGCATTGTACTGTGGTGCAGACGGTAAAACAGGAGTACTGCATTTGGAAGCAAAGTTATTTCTTGACCACTTCCTCTTTCAGCTTTTCAGCCAGGTGTTTTCTCTTCTGCAGCTTCTTCCTCTCCTCTGCAGATATTTCCTGAGTGAACAGATCAGACCAGGAGCAGAAGTTAATGACCTTTAGGCAAAATCATACTGCTTGGATTCAGCCAAGCACACATGTATGAACTAACTAGCCAATACCTCTTTGTGTTTAAAAGATGAAGACAGAGCTTAAAGTTGTGTTAAAAAGGACAACAGATGAAAACTAGAGAAACATGAATGAGTAGATGTGTTCTCATCAGGCAGCTGATGGATCACCTTCTGTTTAGAGGAGTTAGAGTGCTGTGCTGGAGGAGGAGGTGCAGGAGGAGGGGAACTTGCCCCATTCGTCTGGGGTTGTTCCACTGCCTCCTAACAGACCAGATAAGAAAAGAAAGATGAGAATAAAAAACAAAAATCAAGTAAATTAGGAGAAAGAAGAAACGGGTGAATGTGAGACAAAATGGAGTGAAAACTTAAAAATAAAACAAAGTAAACTTGAAACACTCAAGAGGTTAAAAACTGTGTGAGAGCTCCTGACTTACTGAGACAAGTCACATCCAGACGAAGTTAAACGATCAAAAATAAAAATGTACAAATGAGTAACCCAGTGTTTACCTTCATGTTCTCCATCTGTAGGAACAGTATTCACGCTAAACGTTTCTTACAGATGTGCGGTTGATGTGGAACGTAACAACTAAGGGCAAAAACAGGCCGTGTTTACCGGGGCAGAGGAAGCTGCTGCTGTGGGACTGCTTGGTGCCACCTCTGGTGTGGGTGTCTGCTTGGTTTTCTGTTCTTTCCTCAGTGCGTGCAGCTTGTCTCGCTGCTGGCACAGATACACCGCCCTCTGCTGGAGCTGCTGCTGCTCCGAGGCTGCTGACGACTGCTGCAGGGAACAAGGGCTGGTTTGAGTTACGAGACCTTTGAGCTTGCTGGGTCTTTAATTAAAAACACCAAACATACCAAGCTGAACAAGTCAGCAGTAATAAAAAGTCCTAATGAGTCAAACATGATTGTTTCCTGAGTGATGAACTTATCAAGAACAGCTGACATTGAAGTGACGTTGCCATCATGCCTGATACCTTCTGTACAAGTCAGTGGAGTATTACCGTATTTTTCGGATTATAAAGCGCATTAAGCGAAACAAAACAGTCAGATAAGTCAAACTTTATTCAACTCATACGTGCTCAACATTGTTCAGTTGTACCACATAAAATCGGTTCGAGGTCAGTAAGCACAACCAGAATACATAAGGCGCACCGGATTATAAGACTCACTGTTGACTTTTGAGAAAATTAAAGGATTTTAAGTGCGCCTTATAGTCCCAAAAATACGGCATTATGAGCTGGGGTTCCTTAAGTTGTTTAGGTATATTCAGTATTTTGATGTGAATGTAATCTGACTGTGACCACAAAGATCCTGAACTTGGGGAAATGACGACGTAACTGTCTCAAACTCACTGTGCACGATTTAGAGAAGCCAACTCCCTTGCAGGCCTCCTCCAGGTAACCCTCAGCTGCAGTTCGGCTGCCGTTGCTGCTCTTCTCCACAGTTTGAGGACGTTCGGATTTGGAGGCGTCGCTGAACTTTGCTGGAGCTCTAACTGTTGGAAGAACTCTGGACTGGATGCTGTTTTTCCCACAATCTGGACACCAAAAGTTGAATATGTTTTAAAAAAATAACATGCTTTAACACGTTCAAAAATTAACATTAGTAGGTGAACTTATATCTGAGTTGTCATTTGAGTCACCTAATGTGGGTTTGGAAGCGTTGCTTTGTTGGCTTGGAGCTAATGTGGTAATCAGAGCATCACCACTGGCTTTTATTGGCTTATCAAAGCCTCTGCTGCAAGTGGCACCAATATCCCCCTCTACCAGCAGCCTCCTGGACATTTGCTCTTCATATTCCTCTTTTGATCTTCTAAAGATAAATTAGTAAAAAAAAAGATTTAATGTTGGAACAAACACAAAGCTAATATTTTTAATTAGCACTGATTTAAATGTGCATGATCTGATCTTTCCACAAACATTTACGTCTATATTTAGATTACCGTATTTTTCAGATTATAATGCGTATTAAGCAAAAACAAAACAGATAAGTCAAACTTTATTCAACTCATTCACAATAACCACATAAAATTGGTTCAAGGTCAGTAAGCACAACAAGAATTAAAAGGCGCACCGGATTATAAGGCTCACTGTTGATTTTTGAGGAAATTAAAAGGATTTTAAGTGCGCCTTGTAGTCCGAAAAATACGGTAGTACAAATAATCTTTAGAAGTCTACATGAAATAAGAATTTGTCTACTCTAAAGTTGACCGATCTTTTGTCCATGCAGCTTTTGAATGAGAGAACTAGCACCACACACTAAAACTTTGACAGTGATGGTTGTCCACGTGTCAACAGCTCTGTGCTTTAACTTATTACCAGGTGTCAGCCGGGAGCCAAACATAGATCCTTTAATTTGGCCTAATTTTATTTGAATTGCTTTAGTGTGGACCTCTGCAACACATTTGCTTGTAGGAACAGACACAGTCAAAGAGAGATCTAGTTGCAGGGACACATAGACTCCATAAGACATCTATTAGTAATTAATCTTGGATATATACTTCACACAGAATTCAACTGATATTTTGAGAATAAAAATGTCAGTTGTCCTAAAAATGATATTGTGCTATATTGGAGATGGGGGACAATAAATCCTTCACTGTATATGCAGAAGAATGGTATGTTAATTTATGTTTTTTTTAAGATGCCAAAATCTTTTTAAATTGATAGTCAGATCAGACTGCAGTGATCTAAAAAAGGATGAACAGTATGAGGAATCCCACGGCAGCCTTAAAAAGACAAAGGAGCTGAAATACTATTTTCTCACTTGCATGCTGACCATCAATCCTGCTAACCTAAATTAGCTGAGACCTAAGGAGCTTAACCGCACTCCTACTAGATTCTCAGTGTTTTATTTGGCCTGGCTGTCACTGACAAAATCCCATTAGAGATCTAAGGTAGGAGCTTCAAGATACCTGCACAGTCTGTATGCACAGTAAATAAGAGAAGCTTGAAACACCATAAATCAATTCACAGTTTGATCAATGATGGTTTAGTTTAGGAATTTTAAGCCAGAACCTCCTTCTATTGGTAAAGTTTTTACACAAATCTGTCCAAATCATTTTGTGTAATTATTGAAACTAATTAGGGACTGGGTCTTACTCTTCCTTCAACTTTAATGAGGCCCAAACTGCACCGTGTACACCCACAAATGTTATATCAAAACGACTGGCTCGGCACCTATTGCTTTTATTGGCATTTCCCGTTACCATGGCGACGTAATTTGCAAACAAAGACACCATTTTTCACAATGAAACAAACTATGAATCAGCAGTTTTTGGAGATATTAAGCTAAAATTTATTGTGGTGGTAGCTGAGAGCAATGCCCCATAAATACTGGATTCAAATAAAAAATTCAAGATGGCCACCACAGCTTAAATGAAAAAAACACTATAAGTCATAGATTTTTTTTTGCCATAATACTAGTAAGCTGAAATATGGTATGGTGGTAGCTGAGAGTGAACCCCAAGTCATAGTACTGTCAAATCAAAATTTTTAAATGGCTTCCACGTGGCAGTCCCCATCAGTTTCTCCACCTATGTGGTTAATCATGTAAAAGATTAGCCGTTTAGTATCTTG